CCCCTCCGAGCCAGGGAACATTGTGGTTTTTCCAGGTCCTTTTTTTTTTTTTTTTTTTTTTTCCCCCAGCAGGACCTGGGATTTTGCAGGGAGATTTGCTGCCCGCTGTGCCCGGTGGCAGTGCAGAGACGATGCGCCCCTTACCCACGAGGTGGCAGTGGGACTCTCTGTCCAAGGCAGCCCACCTTGGGCATGGCGGGGGCGCTCAAGGAGGTACCAAAGGCCTGAGGAGTCTCCTGCAGCATGTGCTCCTTGTGTGTGTGTAGCGGGGCACCCTGTACCCACAGATGTCTAATAAAGAGCTGCTGGGGCCATCTCGAGAGCGGAGCCAGCAGGAGTTTGGGTGCAGCTTGCCCTGGGTGCTGTGGGCCCTGTCGCTCCCTGCCCGGAGACAAGGGCGCCTGGAGCAGTGCACGGTCAGAAGAGCCCTGCTTTGCCCTTGTGTGATGGAGGGGCTTCCCTGCAGGCCAACCACAAGTCCTGGGACAACTGTAGGGCCAGGGGGGTTCTCAAGGGGGTGGCTTGGTTTGCATGTCAAGCTCTACTTAGCTCTTGGACAGATAAATACTTTTCCTTCTTTTTGGCTTACTGTCACATCCCTCCTCAAGCCTTGCAGGACTCCAACGCAGTTGCCTATTTGAAGGACAAGACAGGAGACAGAGGTAGGTCCAGGTGGTTCTGCCACGGCTGTTGTGGTGTCAGGAACCAGGCTGGCTGAGCCACAGTTTCATCAGGTGGACTGGTAACATGGGAACCACTACCTCACACTTCCATCTTTCGAGATCCAGATTCTGCCATGTGAACAAATAGTCCGCACAGACTGGAGGGTGGCAGCATTGTCCAGGCTTGTCTGATCCTTCTCCAGGAGGCAGAGCGATGTAACCTTGCCCGTCTTGAAGGCAGGCAGGAGCTGCGCCTAGATAAGAATGTGATGATAAATTCCTTAAACTACAGCCCCCGCAGGGCCCTGCAGTGGCACTGGCTGGATGGCTTGGCCTGATACAGGGTTTCATTTCTTGAGAAGGCCAATTATTACCCATTATGGCTGCTCAGTGATGTGCTTACCTGCCTTCAAGAAAAAGCTTTGGGGGGGAAAATTTCACCTCCCTCTCATCTGTATTCTGTTTGAGGTGGTAACTGCTCCGAGGGATGAGGCTCACCTGGGAAATGCTGTGTAGATTTAAAAGGTTTAAGTAGTCTTTTGATAGAGAAATACTGAGGGGTGGAGAAAATCAAACCCCCAAGCCCTTCTTTGCGGTGCTCCTGGGAATGGGTGGTTACAGGCTCGTATGAGGCCAACTTCAAGACTGTCCCCAACTATTGCTTCAGCAAAGGTGAGTCTGTGTGGTGGTTGTGTCCTGTGTCTACCTGTACTAGGCACTGTATAAACTGCTTTGGCCTCACAATTCCTGTGCACTCACAGAGCAACTGATTCTGAACCTGAGGACGACCTAGCTCATTCCTATGAATTCTGGATTCACAGGGATTTGCATTTCTGGGTTAGATTTTTTCTAATCCAAGGTTCCAAGCAAGCCCTAGATGAGATAAGATCCTGGTTAAGGTGGGAAAAAGGAACAGCTTTTTTTCCAGCTGGCTGCTCTACGCTGAGCCGATTCTCCTACCTGAGCTGTGTTTGCTCTCCTGGTGGAAGCAGCTCTATTTTTGCTGTGGAAGTGGTCCAGGAGGCAAAGCAGGAAGACTCAGCATTCAGGAGGGAGAAGTTGGGAAACCAGCTGTCAGCTGTGACAGTGGTCACCCCTGTGCGGTCGGGCAGTCCAAGTCCCTTCCTGTATCCTGGCAGGAATCACATTCCTCTTTCTCCATGAGGGAGGACCCTTTCTGCTCAGACTCCTTGAGGCACCGAGCCCTGAGGTCAGCCCAGCCAGGGCTGACTGACATGTTGCTATATCCATGTGCTTGCCTGCATTCTGACCATGGCTGGGAGTTTTAATTCCTGTTCTAGGTCAGCTGCTGCACTTTCAAAATGGTTTTAAGGAGGCTGGACACCTACTAATATCATGTGAGCCTCTCTTAGTGGTTGTGGCTTCACTAGCTCCGGGGTGACCAGAGTGCAGCAGTTGCTTAGTTCGTAGCTGAAGCAGAGGAGTGCAAGGCCCTGTGCAAAGCTCGAGGGCTGCCTCCCTGGGCTCCTGTGCTTCAGGAGCGACTCCGGGGTCCTTGTGCAGGTTGGGATGAAGGGAAGGCTGCTCTCTGCTTCAGCACTTCATGGCTTGCAGCTGAAGCCGTGACTGGGCTCCGCGTGTGTCGCTCTCTCTCTCTCTTCTGTTTTCTTTAATTACAATCTCAGAGGTAATTTCTGATGCATCATTAACACTTCTGAGTAAACAAGGGGAATTCTCCAAATTATTCGCCATGAGCACAAAGGGAAATTGGCTTTCATCATCTCCCTCTTCATCCAAGGAAGAAGCTGGTATTGAATAGGCACAGGGAGGAAGGGAGCCTCGTGTCTGCTCTTGGATTCTTTGGACCAACTTGAGATGAAGCAGCGCACAAGGAGCGCAGCTTTCCCTGCGGGCGGAGAGGGCAGCAGCGCCTGCACCTTTGGTGTCCCCGTTGCTGAACTAAGGACTGGTAACTGCTGGATCTGTAATTGCAAAGCCCCTCTTGAGTATGGGAACCTCAGGCGATGCTTTCCAGGGTTCACTACCCATTTTCACCTGGGTAACTCTGTACCTGAGTCGTATGGGAAGAGACTGGGGACAGAGCAGTTTACAGCTTTCTCAAAAGCATCTGGAGGGCTGAGCGTGGAGGGTGACATCCTGGTTCTTGGTTGTTTGAGGCTGGAAGAAGAATATCTGAGGCCAGTCTGGGTCCAGGAAATGACAGAGCCTGATTGACATGGAAGGCCTTGCTGTGGAGGCCCCTGGGACATAGACTGGGTCCAAAGCAGGAACTCAGAGCAACGCGGATGCACGCAGGGAGGCAGCCGTGGGGGAGAGTTGCGAACACCTCTAGCAGCTGGGGTGGCAGGAGATGGCTGGAGAAGACCTCTCTGGTGGGACGCTGGCATTTCAGCTTAGCACTTGAGGACAAGGGGCTTCCTTCAGAGGGTGGCACACGGGGCTCGGGCAGTTGCACCAGCCTGAGCCCCCCAACACCTCCACTAGCGCGCCGTGCCAGGCGTCTGCGGAGCGACGGCGAGGCCGGGTTATTTGTATTCATGGCGCGGCTCTGCCAGCCGTGGCTCCGTTATCCGCCATGCATGAATATTATTTGAATACAGAGTTTGTCGTGACTATTCTTCCGCGTGAAACGAGGGATTTGCGGTGGGATGGGAGCCCTCCCTCCAGCTGTCACTCAGGAGGGGTTTCCTTTTCCTGTCGCGTTGGAAGCTGCGGCCCCAGCAAGGTGAGACAGTGGACACTTTTTCTCTTGTTAATATCCATGTCTAATCTCCTCTCAGAGGGGCCCTTTGTCCTATGCTGTAGCCAAGATGAGTAATTCAGGGATAGATGAGACGCTATAATTGGTTTGTGACAAATTAAAACATTTTTCCTTCGGATCTGAGAGCAGGACTGTGGTCTGGAGCTGTCAAGCGTCACAAGGGAGGGCCATTTTCAGAGTAAGCACATTGCAAATTGGCTCTGGATATGCCTCAGAGTCTGAAATTAAACTCTGGTCAGTGACTCTTCTCAGTTGGGGTCGTATTTTGGAGTAGAGGGAGGGAGGCAAAGGGAACGTGTGCGAGTGGGAGAGGCTGATCAATCAAGAGAAGGTGGGGAAGATGCGACGTTTTTGTGTTGTTCAGAGATTGCCGTGGTTGGGATGCAGGGAGCACGACCAGGTGCGATGGGAGCGAGCAGCCAAGAACCGGAGACCATTTCTGCCTGTCTTTTCCTCATGCTGCTTCCATCTTTGCCTGCCTTTCCTCCACGCTGC